TGGCCTTCTTCTGAAGGACAGGCTCCCTGTTTACATAATCAAGTGTTTATTTATTTGAGGTAGCTGCATTCACTCAACTTGTTATGGGGTGGGTAGCTAATCATAAATATACAATTAATGTTCTGATAAGTTGAAGTAATATGTGGATGATAGTCTGTGTGTGTGTGTGTGTGTGTGTGTGTGTGTGTGTGTGTGTGTGTGTGTGTGTGTGTTAATTCTCAGCTAGGAGTGTCAGTTAGAACACCTGTGTACAAGGGAACCTCTCTAATCTGGTATTTGTTAATCCACAAACATCATTCGCAGAAAACTGCAAATATTTCAAAAAAATTCTGATGCATGAGTCGGGAAATATATGATGATGTTGATCAAACCCAAACCACTGGATTAATAGGGTCTTACACTTTACAGTTCTTCACACTCAGAACCAAATAGAACCAGCACTGTCAAGAAAAACCTGCATAATTCTCTTCTGTGAATCAGAACCCTTATCTCTTGTACTTCCAAATTATTATTCTGGATTGAAAAAAAGCAGACAGTCCAATCTACAAAGTCAATGGTCTTCCATCCACAAGTTGAATAAATAAACAAAAGCGTTTTTCAGGTACTTTTTTTGGCATTAAAAACTTCTCTAAATCTGTGGATCCAAGGATGTGTTAAGCAATGTGAGGTGTGTCCAAGAAAAAAGATCATGTTCTCTCGGCATGATTCCTTTCACTTCACTGACGAAAGTTAATGTTCCATTTGCAATGTACAAGTCTTTTAATGAAAGATACAACCGTTGGATGTTTCTCTAGTCAAGACTACAAAGATTCTGTCAGCACAGATCTTATTTCAAAATGAATTTCAGTATCCATTTGGCATGGGCATGTAAGGATCCAATGAACACTTTCCTATCAAAGTTTGTTTAAACTATCTGATAAACCCAAGGAGTAGCCTCATACAAAAGCCGATGATTTCTTTTCCCACCAAACATTGTCAATTTCAGGTCTATTTCAACTGTTATCAACGATTTAGGAAATCTATAGTGCCTAGAAATCACATTTGTTTAGACAAACGACATTGAAAACCCAAACTTATCTTGGACCATTTGGATCATTCCCAAAACCTATCACCATGAAAGGTTTTCATCATGTGAAAATAGCATCCTGATGTGGAAATGTACATGATGTAAACAAATTAATCTGAAACGTGATAAATGTAACCCTTTTTAACCAGCATTCCAGGAGAATGTGTACTGTGGAAATATTTACCCTTTGTAGACAATACAACCTCAACCGGCTTCAGTGTCATCTGCTGGTCTGATAAGAAATTGTTGAACATGTTTGTCAACGTCTTGTCAGTATTGATTAAATCTACACATGTTCATTTCGTAAGTTTGGCAAAAAATATACAAATATGACAGGGATTATTTCTTGCCACTTCTCGAAACTTTTTTTTCCAGAGTGTTAAAGACCAAAGCAGGAGTAAAGAATGAGAAAACTGACCTGCTTAGCTTCTAACAGTATAAATCTTATGCCAGTATAAAGTTTAGTTATGGTGGGGGTAGGGGAGGGTTTATGTTATAGTGGGTCTGAATTTGTTTTATAACTGTTATGGTGGAGTTGGACGGGGAGGGGTGGGGTTAGGTGGGGTTGGGTGTGGTGGAACTTATAGTTGGGATGGGGCAGTGATGATAAAGCTGGGGGAGGGCTTGTATCGTGTGATGGGTCTGAATTGGTCATATTACTGCTATGCTGAGTGTGGGGGGCAGTTATAGTTGGGTGAGACTCATAATATCGAGGAAGCACTGTCGCAGCGGGGGTAAGGTTGTGATGGTGGGATGAGGCTGTGATGGTGGCATTGGGGCTGTTACAGTGGAGGTGGTTGATGAAGCTGTCGGGGATGACAACAACGACTGATGTTGTAGGCAGAGAGAAGGTGGAGACATGACACAGATTTAATCAATTGCTGCCAAGATCCGAGTGATGACAAAGCATGATGTGTATAAAGTAGAAAGGGTTTATACCAATTTGCAACTTGATGTAATAACTACTTAATGAGACAAACGAACCCAAACAAACAACAGATGATGTATTAAAGATTATTATATGTTTTAGAGTCTGCTAGTAAAATGTGAATGTAACTACAGATGTTACCAAAATAATGTCTGACATCCATCATAAAGTTGAAGTAAAAAAACATATTACACGGTTACATGTAATCTTGGTCACAACAAGAAAACCACGTCAAGATATGCTTGACTAAATCTGTACTTGATAATGCATGACACAAGCCAACATTTCCAAAGGATTGTTAACAGGTGCAGGCAATGACAACACTTTATGGAAATATATATCTTGATCTTAATCAGATTAATATGAAACACACACAGAAGATTTGAGACAAGCATTGACTGTAAACTATGACTGTAAAACAATTATGAGACGAAGCTATCGATCATTAACTTTGAAAACTGGAAAACTTCACCAGATCTAAAACCACACCATATTTTAAATAAAGAAATCGTACTAACCTTTTTGTCATAGTAATGATGATTGTTTCGAATATACCAATCATTAGCTCGCATCTGATACATGGACCATCTCTCCATTTTCACTGTTGTTATGGCAACGGGGTCACAAACACATCACAAATCTAACAAGCGAAATTTCACTTGCCCATGTTTTGTGAAACACATCACTGAATTTAAAGCCGAGGATTCGTGCCCAGTTGCATCGGAAGTAGTTTCACAGTTCGTTATCATCTCAAGGCTTCACTCATAAAGCTGGCAATGTTCACCAACCCTCCTGCTCTAGCCTGCCCCGAAATCTCCCATGATAAGCTATCGTGCTAATAGATATAGGTAAAACTATACAGAGGAATGTGAAATCACCATCTAGGAACCAGCTCATCTCTCCCAGGGATTCTTGAAGCCTAGGTTCCGAACTACGGCAAGTTGGTTACTAAAAGAAATACTTCATTTCAGTGCATGACCACCCAGAGGTCAGTCAAAGCAAAAGGCAACAAACTCTAGTCCCAGGGTAAAGAGGGGATGCTCATTTGCAATGGAAACAACATCTGTCTACACTGCCCACACGCCTGGAGGTTGTTTTAACTGTTCTTGTCCACTCCCCATCTCATCTCTGCACCCTCAAGGTTTAAACATCATAGCCCTGATTACTGAAATGTCATCATTGAAATCTATGATGTGGGAACGATGTCGGTAACTCGATAGCTGCTAATATCCCATGTCCAACAGGTGAAATCAGTGTTGTCAGACGGCCTACTCATGAAGGTTGATACCCTTTTATATTTCAATTTCAGCTGTTGTGGGGTCAAACCATGACAAAAAAGCTAATACCCCATGTCCAACAGGTGAAACCTGTGTTGTCAGACGGCCTACTCATGAAGGTTGATACCCTTTGTATTTCAATTTCAGCTGTTGTGAGGTCAAACCATGACAAAATGAGTTTAAATTGATACAATTCTACCCAATAAATTTAAAATACAACTCTTAAATGTATCTATTTCCCCTGGCAAAAGAAACTTAAAAGATATATTTAATTTCAGCCATAAAACAATACTCAGCTTATTATACTTCACTAAATTATATATTTTTGAAACAAATGACTTGTCCTCCATAGAAGAAATAATCTTAAAAAATTCAAATCACTTTCGTTTGTTCATAATCACAGTTTTTAAATCTCCAAGTACATGTTGACAGCTGTAAAGACATTTCTTCAGTTCTACAAACATCAAAAGATACACAAGAAAGACATTTCAAAGATTGGTAACGGTATCTTTAGCCTTCATTTGTTAACGTGTCAGATGTTTACAAATTCTCCAAAATACTGTTCTCGTCAATATCAATCTTGAAATCTTAGACTACAACCCATGTGAAATGGTCATGGAGCATGACAGTCACATGACGCTTGGCGAGAAGAAACTGTACAAGATTCCATAACAATAGACCAGTAAATCTGCTCCAACACTACACTTCCTTAACATTCCTGGAAACCAGTTACAGATGTCTATCACCAACATCGTACATTCACATCAAAATGAAACAGACAAGCTGACAGTCCTGAAGACACAATCGTTTGTATGTTTCCTATGAAATATTGTTCACGGTCTCTTGGCAGACCTCCGGAGCTAAATAGTCTTAAGACTGCTATATGCAGCTTAAGTCATTTATCATAGAAGATAAAGCACACTGATCGCACTTGGTGCCTTGAGTGAAGTGCATAATATCTGACGTAAATATCAAACTGACATCACGAAAACCTCGTCAGTCCTGTTTTTATTTCAGAATAAAAATCCTCGTTAAAGTTCAACAATGAGATTGATTACACACAGTTTGGTAAATTACAGATTAAATCTTCAAAACACCTCATTACCTTAAATTTTTACAAGGAAAAATGATTGCATGAAAATATCATGTGTGATATATAACAGAAAAGATAACAGTTATGTGGTGGATCAAATTAATAATCTTTCCACCTGTTTGCCTAAGATTTTGTATTTTACAAGATCCAATGTTAGATATATAAAGCATATGAAATAGACATTGGTACATTTAGTTTAAATTCATACTCATACATTAACACAGAATGAATAACAACATATAATATACACTATAAATTCAATATTACAAAAATGAAACACTTTAAATCCTGAAAATAAGGGACGTGAAAAACGCATGCAAGGGGTATATGTACAAAGATATATAAAGGGTAGTTATAACACATATACCATCACAAAATCCCAAAACCATCACAACACATTTGATAGAAGAGTAAATTCCGGAATAAAATTGAAAAGTCTGAAATAAAAATACCAAAAGCATGGACTACTGAATGTACACTGATCCTTGCTTTCAATTGCCGCAGTGCATCAAGGGAAGTAACTCTTACTTAGAAAGTGATTGAAGCGTACTAAAATATTCAAAATGCTGTTCAGAATATTTTGCCTTGTAGATGTGCTAGAGAATATATGCCAGATTAGATGCGTTGGCTTCTTACCTGATTTTTGTAGAATATTGTATCAGCTCTCTGTTGATAGATGATTGGAAGAGTTTGTATGAAAGAAAACAACTTTCTTTGGTATACTTTTTTCAAGAAGAGTTTCATTTGAGAAGTATTTTTTCTTAAACTGCATTGCTCTTAGTTAGAAACTCTTAGAAATGATTACATTATTTCCAACTTTAAATGTCATTGTTTTCAGTGACAAAAATGACATGAATTTATAAAGAAAAATATATGATTTTATTTAACGTTTTCATATTTTCTACAAGAACAGGAGCTTAAAATATAGAATCTAGTTTAAAACAAACTTTAAATAAAAACGAAATTATTTGGCCACAACAAATTTATTAATTGCTCTTCAGATTATTTTTTACAATACAGGCAAAATACAGTTTATAAAGATATTGCGTTCCTTTTATTTCAAAATATAAAAAAATATAAAAATGCATCCTCTTTAAATCTGATGAACAGCCAATTATGTTGTTGTGGTAAAAATATGTTTGACTGAATTTGGCCTTCCTATTCTAAATACATGCATTCCTAACACACTACAAAGGGGATGATGATGGTGATGGTGATGATTATAATCATGATGATATGCGCTACTTCCTATATCGTCATGGATTGTCAGATGCTATGAGCAATATCAATTCAAACAGTTTCATGAAACAGGGTGAAAGGGTTCGTCCGAATTCTATTCCTAAAAGTTAGTATCAAATTTTGTGCAAGGAATACTGGTGAAACAAACTGCTTCTGACTTACATTTGTGTTGAGTTGCGTTTGTAGTGTAAGCACTTTATCCTGTGCGGATACAAGTTCTCGTTGCAATTTGCGAACCTAAAAAACAATTGTACTAACTTAAAATATGGTCAGACTTTGTAATCAAAACAAACGATTGGAGCTTGGATTGATTTGAAAAACAAAAAAATAAACATAATATCGGGTCAAATCACAAGATAAAAAAATGTAGTGATCTTGGTTGTTGAAGTTTGTGGAAGAGCGGATATATAATCTTTTTAATCGAAAACCAATGAATGCATGGAAACTAGCAAAATCTTGCTCAAGACTAAAAGATATCTTTATCTAAAAAGCAATGGGGTATTTTCACAAAAGTATTTTTTCAAAATTGAGTGTCCATAGAAATATTCTGGATTTTGAATATTTGTGGGGAAAAGATATCCTTTGCAGTTGGACAATGAAGCATGACTTAAAAAAAAGCTTTTAAAAATTAAAGATAGATGTGAGAGATATGTTTACAGATTTGTCATTCCTCTTACCTCTGCTTGTTGTTTTTCTTCAGCCTGTAAAAAAATTAACAAAAACTAAATTAAACTTAAATTTCAATTTTCATGCATATATATGACTTTGAAAACAAGAGCAAAATTGTCGCTAATCAACAATTTCATCATCATCATTAAAATCTTGTAATCATGACAGCTTTGGGTGCAGGATTTGTTTGTTTGTTGTTTAACGCCACCATCAGCAATATTCCAGCTATGTGACGGACATCACCATGACTCCACTAGATGATGTAACTGGACATTTTCATTTTCTTCTTAATTTTCTCCATACATGTGCCAAACCCGTGTGTCATCTTAATGTAGGGGCATAGTGCTAGCATACCAAGGATCAGAATCCTGGCATATCCAAGGGAAGCAACTCTGCCCAGTGAGCCTGCTGAGTCACCCATGTCAACAAATGAAGAACCTTGTCCCATGGGGTCAATATTAATAAACATCCTCATCATATATAGAGGATAATTAAATAAAATCTATAAAAAAATCTTCTAATTTTGAAATGAAGCAATTCTTACCGATGAATACACTGATGACGATGTAGACACAAGAGACAAATTGGAGCCATGGACTGAAAAGATGAAGATTCCAATTGGTGGAAATGTTTTACTAAATACTGCTGAATAATGAAAACCGTTATAATCTTTATTGCAAAATAAATAATAAAATTGTATGTATTGATGAACACATAAATCAATTTGAATTGAAAGGAATTAATTGAAAAAATATTTCATAAGTGTTCAATGAATGAGCAACTAGTCTGCTAAAAATTATATATTTGATTCATATGTGCATGTCTAACTAGCAGCTGATACAATATTGATGGTAAGAATGAAAGGGGTGTAAAATATTAACTGCATAAGCAAACAAACAATTGTGGCTGGAAATAAAATTTTGAATTAGGGGGGAAATATATGCAAGGTAACAAATAACAAAGAAAGAGGGCACAAATATGTTTGTTTAACCGAAATCAAATAGACAGCATGCTTCAATATTTACAAAATTTTATTAAAAAGTTTTAAGTCAAATAAGATGAGAAAACAAACAAGGTTTTGTAACAAATTGTTTAACAGATGAATGATTATGATTGAATTAACAACAACATTTATAAGTAAATATAAAAATGAAATAAAAATTGTTTATTTGTGCTCTCTTTGTGCTGTTTAATTCAAATAAAAAGTGTCATATTTGAATACCATTCAACCAAATCATAACTTGTATGTACAAAACACAGAGTTTTTGTCTTCATGAACACAAAACTGTTTTGGATCCGATTCTGGAATGATTTGTCTGAGGAATGGTATTCAGACATTAGAATTGTTCACAGATCACAAAACAAAAACTCATGATGTAGTGATGTATATTTCCCCTTAGTAAACAAAGTCTACTTTTTCAAAACCTTTTTTAAAAAGTGTTCTGTTTGAAGTATATTTAACTGTACCCAGAGCGGAGTGAACCCCAACATAGGTCTGAATTAGTCATCAACATGGATGCGTTTTATCACTTTGATAAAAGTCAAAAAGGCTTAAAGTTGTTGGACAAAATGGCGGATTCTGTATCACTTCAGACTTTCTGATTGGTCGTCAATCATGTTTGATTGACAGGTGGCGAGAGATTAATTTTATTTTCCTTCATTTTTTCATCTTAGAAAACTATCTGTCCCTTAGTTGGTATGAAAGTTCAAACTATCTTTTATAAAAATGTAATCATAATAAAAAAATCCTTTTTTTTATCTGAAGAAGGTCTAAACACAATGTTGTATATCCCAACTACTCAAAAACAGGAAGTTGCAGATGTGTTGATGTAATGAGAACTGACAACAAACAGCTTGAAAGACTCTTGAAGAGATCTCAAGAGGAGTTACCTCCCTTTGACCACTTACCGCTTGAATATGCATAATCACTCAGATATGCATAATCCAAAGTTGAAGATTTTGACAGACCTGATAATAAAATATATATTTGCGTAAATGAAAGTTTACACTTTACATCTGATTAACATAATAATTCTACACCTAATTTGCCACAAATAATACTGAAAAATAACAGACTTAATCGTTTACAATAGAAGGAAAATGTCAAACTTTGTTTACTTCATTGAATAATTTTACCATCATCATATCAGGAAGAAAATTACATAAAGTGATTTCTGGATACATGACCTTTATATTTCTAACATTATTTTAATTTTTGCAAATACTCAATTGCGATGTTCAATTTCTTCATCAATAGTTTACAAATACAAAGAAATTTTAATAATATTCAAGAACTAAATACAAACATGAATTTAACAATACCCATTATGAATTGAAATACTCTTGAATAAATTTAATAATCAAAAGTATTATTTGTGGCCGTTGTGCAGTTCATCTATAACATACGAGGGGCGTTCAATAAGTTTTGCAACTTCAATATAAGACCAAGTCGCAGAATATCTTTTGCCCTTTTATTTTTCAATAAAATCTTCATTCACCTCAATACACCTACTCCATTTGTCCTTCAAGCTTTTAATACCACTTTTATAGAAATAACCACGCCTCTGTGGCAGCCTTTATGTCCTCGTCATCTTAGAAGCGTCTTCACGTAGGGCAGATTTCATTTGCCGGAACAGGAAATAGTCACTGGGGGTTAAATCTGGGCTGTAGGGTGGGTGGTTTATCTATACAGCCCAGACCTAGCCCCAGTGACTATTTCCTGTTCCGGCAAATGAAATCTGCCCTACGTGGAAGACGCTTCCAGGATGATGAGGACATAAAGCTGCCACAATCTGCGGATTTCTATAAAAGAGGTATTAAAAGCTTGAAGGAAAAATGGAATAAGTGTATTGAAGTGAATGAAGATTATATTGAAAAATAAAAGTGATAAAGATATTATGCGACTTGGTCTTATATTGAAGTTGCAAAACTTATTGAACGCCCCTCGTATGTACACCGTAAAGGATGACAAAAGCAAAGCAAACCTGAGCGCAGGCCTACACACTAAACTAAAGCTTGCTAAAGAACTACAGAAAGCACACTTACGACTTCCCTCCTCGTCTTGTTTGCTCAATTTGGACAAAGCAAGCCCCGAGTACGGAAGACTGGACTGGGTACTTGATCGCACCATGTTGTGCTGTGCGTTGTTGGAACTAAGCATGTTGGGGGAGTACATCATGGGATATGTAAAGCGAGAGGATTGGGAGGCAGAACTAGGAGTGGGCGAAGATGGTTGTTGCGAGCTCGGACTCGGCAGTTGAGAGAAAGAGTTGGTGCGAGGAAGATCGTCGCAAGCAGAGTGTTTGGTGCTACTGGAATATACACAGTCAGACTGGGTGGACTTGATGCTGTTGGAGCGGCGGAGGCCACCCCCACCCCCTCCCCCGCCACCGACTCCACCCCCATGCACAGAGTCACGTTGGTGTGCGAGAATACGTGCACTTGCACCGCTTAAAGCACGTGCTTGCTGAATTTGTGCTTGAATACTGGAAGCGGCAGAAGACAGAGATTCTTCCGTGTCAGAAACGTGCATTAAGTGACCATTTGCAGATTTTAACCAAGTACCGTTAGAACCGGAGTTGCGAGGGCTAGAGTATTCCAAGGCTATATAGTTGGGGTTTGCCTGCAGCGCGTTCTGCTGAGCGGCTGCGGCTTGAAGCTGCTGAAGGTTAACGTAATGGCTTGTATTTTTGCCACCATGAGACGGAGAAGAAGACTCTGATTTACTGCTGTATGTAGCATGAGGGTTAGATATGATTGTGCTATTGCAGAGACTGCCATTTTCACCTTGAGGTGTCTTACTCAGGCTGTTTTTGCTGCCGAACAACCGTCGTCGTCCAAGCGTATTCGATTGGAAGTCTCGTTCGGTTTGGGCCGAACTTGTCGATTTACTTGCACTTATACCATTTTTCTTTTTCCTCTCCCTCTCGAGGGTGTTGCTACAGTAACCTTCGGGGCCCAAGTCACTGTCTTTCATGTTCGTTCTAGCAGACGCACTTCCGGGCCGGGGAATATTACTTGCCGGCATTTCATTGGCTGATTTTGACATGGGGTTTGCATCCACACCATGCTTAGCCAGTCGACTACCTACAGTTGCTGAGCCTTTAGAACTCGAGCTCTTGTTACTACCGATAGAGGAGTTACTAGCGTTACTTAGCGGTCTGCGGTAACCAAAGCTACTGCTACTGCCCCCTGAGCCACAGTTAGCTCCCCTTGCATTCTGCATTCGTTTCATGCTTGTTTCTAGCAAGTGCGAATTATCCGTGTTAGTTTCACAGTCACGTTTAGTTGAAGGACTCGTTGAACAGGTCCCCTTTTCACTTTCAGCGTACGATACATGTTCCCCTCGGTAACCAAATTCAGGCTGGCTGGCGTTGGATAATTTCCTCAACGAACCATACCCGGACGATGAGTCTGTTCGGCGCCACTGGCTGTGATCATACCCATTGCTGTAGGGGTATGCGTAATCACTGGGGTCGCTACTCAAGAGTTTGCTGTTCTGGGGCAGAGAGTATTTCCTCCAGCCTATATGCCCGGAATCACTGTTATAATCACTTCCCATAAAAGCACTTGTTCCCAAATTCGGAACCCTCTTGCCTTGCACTTGTGACGTTCCCCCTCCATTTGAGAAGCCACGGGTGAGATCCTTAGGGGTTCTCTTCAAGCTGCTGTAGGGGTTTGTGTCCGACAGTGCCCCTTGTGAAGAACCTGTCAGGTTCTCGTCAGTGCTGATCTCTGCAATGGTGTCGCTGATGTCACCACTGCTGATCGAGCTGCTGTCATCAAAGCTGAAACATATAAATAAAGATTTAGATAGTTGTGAGGAAAACATTGTTATGTCAATTGTAATACATAAAGACATTCAGATAGTTGTGAGGAAAACATTGTTATGTTAGTTGTAATACATAAAGACATTCAGATAGTTGTGAGGAAAACATTGTAATGTCAATTGTAATACATAAATATATTCAGATAGTTGTGAGGAAAACATTATCATGTTAATTATAATGGAAATACAGAACATGGTATTAAACTGGATACCTTTACGTAAAAAAAATATTATAACAAATCAAAATCGACAGTTATAGCACAACCTTGTTCATCTGAACATTTGTGCTTAGGCAATTATATTCTTTATAATATAACTCAATATTAGACCTAGTCCTATCCTAAACCTGAATGATTTTCATTGGATCTTAGCTGTTCAGATCAAAGAGATTCACCTGTATTGAAGAAAATATTTCAATACTGTAAATGTAAACGTAGATGTAAATGTAACTTTAAATGCATGTTGGTACAAAATACCCAGGTTGCTGTGCTCCATATAGATTAAAAAACAACATGGAAATTTCCCAGTATTAAATTGTCCCTCTGTTTACCAAGTTACCATCACTGAAATCCATAATTTCCTTTTCAAATCAATATAACATCATACTTCCGATTCCATTGTTTTGGAAATCATTATTCCAAAATGCCTGGTCATAAACAAAATCAGTTATGGTAGGGCATACTGTAATCCATCAGATATCAGGGATTTTAGGGTTTTAAGTTTTACAAGTTGAAAATCAATAAATGTTTCACAACAGAATATGACAATCAACTTCCAGTTTTAAGAGACAAAAAAGTTCTTTGTAAGTCCTGTAAGCACACCACACCAGTCATGGATGCCCAGTTCTTCAGAATTTATCATTATTATTCCAAAAGTTTGTTGTGGGGCACCATCAATCATGGTAAAAGCCACCATTGAATAATTTAACAAGTTAAGACAAATTTGGGATATGAAAGAGTTTGCAACCATCATTAAAATTCTGAATAAACAAACCATATTCATATTCAATTGGTTGATGAAATTAATGTTTTTCAAAGAAGATTGCTCTATATGATATATCATCTATCACGCCTCTTCTAACGTTAATATTTATAAAGGTTACAACTTCAAGCTTAAAAAATATATGGTCTACTTGGCAAAATGCCACAAAATCACTACGTATCTAAGAAACCGATAAACTCTGTGCCAAACTTTCCGATATCAAACATAAATTTCTTCTCATGACATAAACATTATAGATAGCAGAAAAAAAAGTACACAAAAAATATTCAGAACCATATTGTTAACTGCATGTTATCCAGTGTAGATGAAATGCATTCAAATGATTGTACACTAAACGTGTGTGTACAATATGTGTGTTTGCAATATACACATGATATCAATATTGTTTATACTAAGTAAGGGGTTGAGTAGCCAGCCTAGTGGTTAAAGCGTTCGCTGTCACGCCGAAGACCCGGGTTCGATTCACGACATGGGTACAATGTGTGAAGCCCATTTCTGGTGTCCCCCGCCATGATATTGCTGGAATATTGCTAAAAGCGGTGTAAAACAAAACTCACTCACTCACTCACTTATACTAAGTAAACAGTTCAACCTCTGAGAACAACACATAAATGTGCAACAGGTGTTGATAATTACACTCCAGTTTTATGAATGTGTCAATCAATAATATCTGCACACTGGACACAAGTGAGTGTCACCGCTATTGAAATGTGATACAATGAAATGGACAAGCATGGCTGAACTCAGTTTTCATGAATGATCAAGAATAAATACTGATAATGGAACTTACTTCAACACAACTGCTCAAGCATGGCTAGAGGTTTTGGAAGTAGAGAAATGCATTTTCCGATTTTGTATTTTGTTTTGAGGAGTTGTTTAATTTTGTTAAAGATATATGACAAAATGAGTTACTTATAGTGTTGTTATACTTTTATACAACATATCTACATCACAAACATCATCCATCGTATTGATGCTCATGCTCCATTATTAACAGACTGGCCCCATATAGCTGGATTGTTGCTGACGTGGTGTTAAACAACAAACAAAAATGGAATCATCATCATCATCATCATCATCATCATCATCATCACCACCACCACCACCACCACCACCACTACCACCACCACCACCACCACCATCACCACCACCACCTCAGTATCTCTGTATGCTGTTTCCCTTTCATTTTTACTTTTGTTTATTTGTTTATACAAACCCCTTTACCATTAGGAAATGCTTTATTACACTTGACAAACGTAAGCTAAAAGCAAGTTCATCCTTATTATAGTCATGGAGTTTTACCTATTCATAATATATTAATTTTTCAAATAAGATATAAATTATCCTAATATAACAGATAAACTAGATATTTTCTTGATACGCACACATTTTTTTTATATATACGTAAGTCAATGTGGCAAGATGGATAACAGAATGACCTATAAATTGGATCATGAAAAAGAAATAACAAAATAGCAATATGGCATAACAACATTTTTCAAATTACTGTGTCAATTCTCATGCAAAGATATTACAGATTTGCTGAAGACATATTCACTGAAACAACTACCAACCTGCAGGCATCATACATCGCCATCAGTAACTTCACTTTCCTATATATCGGCACTGATTTCAAAACAAGCACCTATTGTCTTTATCAATCTACCTCTACAATCATTGTGCATTTCCTCACGTACATAATTTGTCTTGTATTTAGCAGTATAAATATTTCACACTCAAAACATCTAACCTACCAAACAATTTTCTTTCAAAATCTGAAAATATTACTTCTTAAACTATATGATTTACCTAATGCCTGAAATTGACAAGTGGTATAAATTTGAAACTGACAACGTCAAGTAGAGGCTATTGACATGAGGACTTGATATAGACAGTGCTTGGTGACCTCACACACCCTAAGATTGTATGTGTTTACTATCACAGTGAAGATAAGCGAGAGCTGTCTATGTCAGCTTGCTTGACGTCATGCTTGCCCCTTGGTTTTAGGTTTATAGATAATATCAAGTTCTTGAAAGGTCTTTAGACTGAAGAAGTGAAGAGGTAGATAGATTTGATTCCGAAAGAGGTGATGGGAAATAGAGTTTAACATTATTTCACTTATATAGAGATGAGCAGGCTATATGTGAGTGGTTACTTGTACTGGGCATTTTATAGTTTAAGCCTACTGAGACACTGTGTCGCAGTTTGAATATGGATTCCACACACTCTGACACATTATACTGACTCAGAGTTGACCAGTCCATATCTTATCCCCTTAATGCCAAGCGCCAAGCAGGGTAACAACAAGTACCATATTTTAATTCTAACAACTTTTGGTATGAGGCGACCTGGGATCGAGCCGTCGACCTTCTGCTCTACAGGCAGACACTCTATCCACTAGACAGTGGAGGAATCTGTTTCCAGAAGAAATCATCTTAGTGATGATGATGATGATGATGATGATGATGATGATGATGATGATGACGACGACAACAATGATGACGATGATGATAATTTTAATGATGATGATTGTGATGATGAGGGTGATCAGGACAATGATGATCATGAGGATGTAGATAAGTGACACCCGTGAAGATTCCGGGAAAGAATAGGTCTCCAGCAACCCATGCTTGCCGTAAGAGGTGACTGTGCTTGCCTGTGCTTGCCGTAAGAGGCGACTAACGGGATCGGGTGGTCAGCCTCGCTGACTTGGTTGATGCATGTCATCGATCCCAATCACTGGATTGTCTGGTCCAGACTCGAATATTTACAGACCGCCCACATATAGCTGGAATATTACTGAGTGCGGCGTAAAACAACAAACCAACCAAGATAAGTGACATTAGCATCAAGCCATATATAACATAACAGTAAGCAGACGTACATTCTGCAAACTACATGGAGGAAACAACCTTGTCATGACCTCACTAAATCTCGCATTAGAATTTCACTGAAAAAGTATCTAAACGGAGGACGTAAAGTCCTCTCAGGCTTGACTGTTTTATTCAACTGGAATAGTCAATTCTCTGGAGAACTGCTCAGCTCTGCCAGGTCCCGGGCAGACAGTGCAATCACGTCAAACTCTAAACCTCCTTCCTCTATTATGCATTTAAATCTTTTAAAGATTCATGTCATTCTTCTTGAAATGTACAATCAAATGAGCTGTAGCATAATTCATCAACACTTAATGCACAAACTATACATACTGAAATCAAATCTTGAACTCAAAAGCAAATAAATTGACCAATTTGGAAAACAGAGTTCAAATATTGCAGAAAACCTATCATTATACAAACAAGAAAAGAGAAATTTGCAAATTTCTCCAAAACCCAACCAAAAAAATGAGTTTATTAATGTAATAGTCTGTTCAGCTCAAAAACCATTTTTTCACATTTCAAAAATCAGAATAAAAAACATTATCAGATCAGATCAAATCAAATCATTGCAATAAACCTCCAAGGAAATATCCTAAATTACCAAACCTTTAAATACTTATATTATCATGAAATATACACACACCAAAATACAACAGGGCCTCAGAATTGATCACACAGTACTGAGTTAGACAAGACTGTGCCGAGATCACAGATTATTTCCAATATACTGATATCGGGCAGAATAAGTTATCAGTTTCAATGAGTTCCTTAATGCATAAGGTAGGCAAATCAATGCGAGATTGTCAACACATCCTCCTAGCAGCTTCCGCATCCCAAACAATGACATCATACTATATTAACGATATATATTTAGAACGAGCCATACAAGCGGTGAGTCATAACAGCGAATCATTGATTTTTCGAACTGTTCTGTTTTCTCGTCTTAGAGGATTCTAGGGTCAATATGTAGTCACCGAAGGCTTATCATATGTACAAGCAAGTCAAAAATATAGCTCATAAAATTATCCTACATATTTTATACATTGCATTGAAAATGAGGTCAGAATTGATCCTTTCACTT